TCCATGTCCTTGAACCACATGCCAGCCCCTCCTCCATGAGGGCACAGTTCCTTCCTGCCTCCCCCCTGCCCTTTTCCACTTTGATGGGCAAATTCATATTGAGTAAAGGGTCTGAAGAATGGTCCACTTATTCACTTAGTATTATATTTTTTCCTCAATTACATGTAAAAACAATTTTAACATTTGTTTTTGATTTTTCAGTTCTGTATATTTTAGAAATGAGGACTTTTTCAGAAACACTGACTGTAAAAATTGTTTCCCAGCTTTCTGCTTTCTTTTTATTCTTGATTGCATGGGTTTTGTTTCTGCAAAACCTTTTTAATTCGATATAAACAAAATTATCCATTTTCACTTAGTAATGCTCTCTCTCTCTTTGGTCATGAATTCTTCTCTTCTCCATAAATCTGACAGGTAAACCATTCCTTGCTCTTCTAATTTGCTTATGGTATCATCCTTTAGGTCTGAATCATCTACCCATTTTGACCTTATCTTTGTATACTTAGTTTCTGCCATACCTTTTTAAATTTTCCCAGCACATTTTGGCAAATTGTGATTTCTTATCCACAAAGCTGCAGTCTTTGGTTTTAACAGGAGATTACTATAGTCATTTTCTGTTGTGTATGTGTACCTAACCTGTTCCACTGATCCACCAATCTTTTTCTTAGCCAGTACCAAATAATTTTGATGATTGCCTCTTTATATTATATTTTTAGTGTTGATACAGCTAGGTCAATTTCCTTCACATTTGTTTTCATTTATTCTCTTCATATTCTTGACCTTTTGTTCTTCCTAATTAATTTTGTTATGATTTTTTTCTAGCTCTAGGAAATAATTTTTTGGTAGTTTGATTGGTATGGCCTGAATAAGAAAATTAATTTGGGTACAATTGTCATCTTTATTATTATTGGCTCAGTCTACCCATGAGCAACCAATAATTTTCCAATTGTTTCAATCTGACTTTGTGTGAAAAGTGTTTTGTAATTGTGTTCATATAGTCCCTGGGTTTATCTTGGCAGGTAGACTCCCAACTATTTTCAATTGAATTTCTCTTTCTATCTCTTGCTGCTGGGCTTTATTGGTAACATATAGAAATGCTGATGAGTTATGTTGGTTTAGTTTATATCTTGCAAATGTGCTAAGCTTCTTAACGCTTTCAACTAGTTCTTTAGCTGAATCTCTAGGATTCTCTAAGTATACCATCATCTGATCTGCAAACAGTGATAGTTTTGTTCTCTCATTGCCTATTTTAATTCCTTCAATTTCTTTTTTTCTCTTGTTGCTAGAGCTAATATTTCTAGTATAATATTGAATAATAGTAGTGATAATGGGAATCCTTGTTTCACCCTGGATCTTATTGGGAAAGCTTCCAGGTTATCCTCATTACAGACAATGCTTACTGATGGTTTTTAGGGAGATGCTGCTTATTATTTGAAAGGAAACTCCATTTACTCCTATATTCTCTAGTGTTTTTCCTAGGAATGGGTGCTATATTTTGTCAAAAACTTTTTTTGCCTCTCTTGAGACAACGATATGATTTCTGTAGATTTTATTATTTATATGGTCACTTATGCTGATAGTTTTCCTAATATTAAACCATCCCTGAATTCCTGATCTAAATCCCACTTGGTCATAGTATATGATCCTAGAGATATATTGCTGCAATCTCCTTGCTAGTACTTTATTCATAATTTTTGCATCAATATTCATTTGGGAAATGGGTTTTCTTTCTCTGTCTTGGCTCTTCCTGGTTTAGATATCAACACCATATTTGTGTCATAAAAGGAATTTGGCAGATCTCTTCCTTTCCCTATTTTCCGAAATAATTTATATAGTATTGGAATTAATTGTTCTTTTAATGTTGAGTGGTATTCACCTGTAAATCCTTTTCAGCCTAGGGATTTTTTCTTCGGGAGTTCATTGATGACTTGTTCAATTTCTTTTTCACTTCTGATTGGTGGATATTTTTGGTTTTCTGCTTAGTAATGGCTTGGACATTGAGCCAATGTTATGTCCAAACATAAGTTTGTGTACTGATCATGTACCGGTCACATATGAGTCATGATGTTCTCATTATGGCTAGCATTGGTCATAGTATTTTAAGTTATGGCTCTAAGATATGATTCAGTCTCTAAGTTGTGATTTTTTTTAACAGGTCACCATGTTTAGGCTTCCACCTTTCACAGAGTACAAGTTTTTTGGCTTTTTTCATATTACTGTATTTTATGGCTTTTCCCCAATCAGGACCCTATAATCCACCAGTGAAAGCCATCTGTACATTCTTTCTGAATATCTTCCACAAAGTCCCTGAGACAGCTCTACACTACGGTGTTTAAGGCCTTTTTGAGTACAGTCAGGATGGTCCCATTTGTAAGCATAAATCGTACAAGCAATATAAGCACAAATAGTAAAACAAGAGGATTGAGGAGAAAATTACCACAATTGTTACAATTTTCTTCCATCCCAGCACTGGGGAGGTGAAGGAAGAGCCAATGACATTTGGGGATTAATGGAAGAGCTGAATTTCTGAACTTAGTACAGGCTAGCTGAGTTTTTGAACTAGGTTCAGAGAAAAATAAACTTTTACAACATATTGGGGGTGGCACAAAATAGAATCAATTACAAAATGGGATCAAAACAATTTGATTTTTCTCAATTTCCCCCTTTTTCTCAAGGGGAGGCATGTACAACGATGATCATTAACTCACCTGCAATGTCCATTTAATTAACAAATTTCATCTTGGAATCCAGATGTCACATGTAGTTGTCTGCTCTCTGGAACATCTTTTCTTGGGGCATTCTGGAAAATACCTTGTCCTCAGGGGCAAGCAACAGTTCAGTAGAATTGTTTTTTCTGGTTCCAAGTTACATGTAGAGACTCCTTAGATGTTCCTGCTAAAATCTTTTACAAAACAGATCTCAATACAAGTTAATGTAGCCTCTCAAATTTTACTTCCCTACTTACTAGTTCATATTGTAAAAACCAATTAAAACCTTAGAGTTCTGGTCTTAACAAGGGAGCATCAAAATAGGAACCCAGAGTTTGCTTGAAGCTTCAGAAAATTTAGGTTTTTGCATGCCCCATTAGAATCATTTACATTTGATATACAGGTTGTCTGATCTTGTTACTGTCTCAAAAGTTTCCACTCTGATTCCAATTCCTTTAGGAGGATCAGATGCTATTGAGGATTCAATCTTATACATGAAAATATAAGTAACAACATTCTTACAGGTAGAAGC